ATTTAGCCCTTTTATTCTCCATAACCTTCTGAGGAGTCTACCATCTGGACCTGGGAGGGTCTAGCCCATACTTGGTGCAGATATTTCTGTGCACAGTGCCAGCCACTTGGTTGTACAGTGTATGCTGTTCCTGTCTGCATTTTACATCTTTCCACTGTGTCTCTGAGGTCTCTCTGCACAGTCTGCACCTGGGGTTCTGTCTGGTTTGGTAGACCCCTTCTTAGATTGATCTGGCACTTAGTGCCTGTTCTTGTGCTGTTATGATCAGTGCCTCAGGGCTGTCTGATCGGCCAGGCTTTTCCAGCCACTGGAAGCATGCTATATTTAATATTAAATGATGTATTTCAAGTAGTTCAATTTCAATTTTCTGGTGATGGAGATTTAAGAGCAAGGCACAAGCAACAAAAATGGGGACAAGAATCATGTTCTCATATATCTAGGTGTTAAACGTTTGGAATGTAGAACACAGTAATGTAATATATGGCTCTTTAAAGCATTTTTTAAAAATGGTACCTTGGTGACATTTATGCAGCTTTTTCTATGTTTGCACTGTGGTATACCTTGCTGTTTGTAGTGTCCACATGCAGCACCATACCTTTTTGAATTTTTGTGACACAAATTTAATTTGCGTGGGGAATAATTGTATTACTTGAATCAGTATGGCTAGTTTGTTCTACACCACAGCCACAGATACATTTTAACCATAGAGAATGATCCTGAATGGCACTAAGAATTACATACTATTGATTAAAAATTATTTATATGGCAGAAGTCAGATGTAAACTGAGATGAGGTGGTCATCATTATATTGACCACATCTCTCCACATTTGAATTTAGGAAAAGAAATGACTCATGCTGTTTAAAATGTATTCTGCTACAGGTAGATTTTACAACTGTTGAAAATGTTGGTGTAAAGTGGATGTTGGTAAAGAAAGATGTTCTGTTTTTGCTTGAAAAAGGTTTGAATGACTCCGAGCAACAGATTGTGACAAGTTTTCACCTGTGTGTCTATTTATGTTTTTTCCCTAGGAGCTAAATTTTGACTTTGTTCATATCTTTTTCTGTCCTCTGTTTTCTGAAAAAGACCGAAGAAGCCCTCTTATCCATATTCTCAGTCAGTGCCATGACTCAAGGGTGTTAAGGTGCCAGCTGCTTGCTATAGTTTGATTGACTGTAGACTGTAGACAAAGAAATGACAGGGACACACCCAGATACCCAGGAGAACACAGTGAGAAAAAAAGATCTTCAAGATCAATTAGCTTTTTTCGTGGTAGGAAGATGACACATCTGTGTGACACATCAGCACTTAAATATTAACACTACAGATTGCTACGGCTGCTGTGATTGTGTGTCTGAAAGAGATGAACGTACAGGCATACACCTCACTAGATGTGCTGTATGGTCTTCCTTTGAAATCTCAGAAATTATATACTAGATGCACAAAGTATTCAGGACTCTCTTTGTAGTATAATGAGGTGAACTCAGTTGGAAGTTATTATTCCTTTCAAGAATATGTATAAAAGGGATACTTTTCAAAAATGTCACATTTTAGTTCCAGAATGTGCTTATTCCTCAGAGGGTGGGGTTTGATTTAGTAATCAGTATTTAACAAGATCCTGCTCAAAAATACAGTATGTGTGCATTAAGCTACACACCATGGTAGGCCAGCTATCTGCAACTGTGTTTGGTAGAGGGTGCTGTCAGTCACTAACATCTTTTTGGTACGCGCATGTAAAATATTTTACTGTATACATGACATTCAAGCTGAAGTATTAAGGTTTAAGCAATATTATCTTCTAAAGCTGTATGTTGATTACAAGTACAAAACATCTAGCCAAAGTTGCTGCTCATGTGTTTTGGAGCATTAGTGTTCATTTGGATGCATGTTAGGTCTGTCTATAAGTCTATATCTGTCACTCGTCTTTTAGAACTCATATTTGACTCATTAGCTGTTACGTGCACAACCGTGTTTACAATTTAGTTTGTCTGCACTTTGGTGATGCACAGTTTTTGTTTTTCTCTTTTCCCTGCAAAATAGCTGCATGCTGTGGCTAGAAATAAGATGTATGAAAGCAGTGAGACTGAACCAGAATAATAATGTTATGGGTTATAAAGCTAAGACTACAAGCTACAGGATGCTGGAAAAGCTTTGGAGCTATAGCTAGTTTGATCATTCTTAGTGGGTTCATCAATAGAAAACAATAAATACTAGACTAAATCTACTAAATTATTAAAGAGGAAGTGGTATGCTATTATGTTAGCAGGAAGCTGAAGGAATCCTTTGTGTAAACTTGTTTGTCTCTCTGGCCCCTGATGGTCCAAAACACCTACATGCAGCTTACTATAGGCTATAGACTTACAAAACAAGTGGTAGAGAATGTGTATACTGTACAAGCTAAAAACTAGGGTATATGCCTCCACAGTAAACAAAGACGATAGCTTGCATAATATAGTTTGAGTGACTTATTAATCACATATGGAAAGACAGTTAAACAGATTCACCTATGTGTGGGAGAGCCGACTGCCATTGGTGACCAGATGGAAGCCTGAGTGATTGGTCTGACACTTAACTTGGCTCAGAGCTTGAGGGTGAAATTCTTCCAAAAGCAAAATGTTTTAAAGCTTGATGAGTCACACCACAATAAAAATCAATGTAAACATGTCTCTTGTGTATTAATATATGCAAGCAAGTTAGTTAGTTAGTGTTCTCATATTCATTCCCTTCAAATCTCTTAGTCAAATAATGGGCATAACACTGAATTAAATGATTTTTTTTATTTATTTATCACATTTCCTTTTTGAAATATAGCCTACTGCAGCCGAGCGCAGACCGATGCTCATTGTTCTGCTTTATTTGCACCTACATAATGTTTGCATCAAAGTGAACCACACTGCCAGCGTTTGAATGTAAACACAATTCTCTAAGGAGATGTACACCCCTGGTCCAGAAACTGCCTCTGGGCTGAGCCCCAAGTGTTGTAAATTTTTAACAGTGCCCCTGCTGTACACACACAATTCATCCTCTATTGGTTAGGCGAATTAACTGTGCAGGCCCAGGGATGTGTAGAGAAAGAAATGAGAATGACCTCAAACTATTGGCTCTGTTTGTTATGTGCTCACTGAGCATGTGGAGTGAGAATGGGTGGGTTTAGTGAAGAGGGTAGAGGGCTTTCATTTTTACTGACAGGGGGCTCAGACACTGAGGGAATGACCAAAGAGTGGTGAGATCCAGTCAACTTCAATTACAGCCCCTTGTAGTTTTCCCAGAGGTGCACTACAGTGCCTTTAAGGGGGAATCAATGAGGTGACAAATTGTTGTGGACAGCAACTCCTTTTATTTGTTATCTTGTATCCATGCCCGCCCGGATGCTATTCTAAGCGTGTGTGTGTGTCAGAGAGAGCTAGTGCATCTGTGTGTGTTTGGCAATTATGAATGCGTAGTGCTCCCCATTTATGATAATTGAATGCTTTGGTCCATTTGTGTTTTGGTTGTTTATTTTCTGCTAGTGGATTTAATGGCTTGTTATCTGTCTAAACCTGTTTTTAAATGCTTTCTAATGGATGTTCACATGCATCACCTACTGATGCTCAGTGCCATTTTTAAAATTTAATAATAACAACAGTTTTAAGGGTTTTCTCAAGGTTATTTTTGCTTTTTCAAGTCTGCGGATATCTGATGACTGATGAATATTGACTTGCTTGCATGCATTGAGAAGCATATGTAGTTGAATTATCTAAGTGTTTTTAAAGGTGGGAGATGAATATGACAGTGCATGTGAATCTGTCCCAGTTGTGCTTTCTAAACAGTTGTATTCTGGAAGATTGTTAGGAAACCTGATAAATGATGGCGTTTGAAGTATGGGGGAGATGCACAGTACAGCTCTAGGTTTAGCAGAGTCATTTGTAGAAGAAGAAAAATATCAGGATTGTCTGATGTAAGAAATGTACACATTTCCACTAAGTCACAGCCGCAGTAGTCCAGTCGAGACTATGTGTGTTCTGAATTTCACAGCTGAGGTCATTTATTAATGTGTGCTCACATTATATGTGGTACCCCCCCCCTCCAAAAAAAAGAAATAAAAACCAAGTGTAGAAATTTAACAAGTAATTTATCTAACAGACATCTGTGGTCCATTTTATCTGTGTAAAGGTGAAAAAATATCTCTGTCAGTGTTAGTGTAGCTTGTGGTCAGTGTCAAGTTTTATATTGTTTGATGTTGCTTTTAATTGTTTGAATTTTAGTCTAGTTTTTAAGTGTGTGCCCATGGCTCTGTGCATTCATCTGTGCTGCTGGCAGAGAAGTGTGTGTAGACTAAATTTATTGGTAACAACAGTGCATATCACATAATTGATTTAGATGTGCTGCAGGACACATTGTTATGTGATATGCTGGTAAGGTGCGTTCATTTCTTACTGTTATATGTGTGCATGACTATAATTACTGTGTGTGAATTTGGTGTTGGGTCAGATGAACTGATGGGCAGTTTACAGCAAGTGCTGTGAAGTCTGCAAACAGAATGTGATACGTGTATGTGCCTGTCAACAACTGCACATTGATGCACAGCAGCAGCAAGTGCTTGTAGTACCCAGCCTTGATCAGAAAAAGACAGTAACATTAGATAAGAGACACAGAACATGTAACAAATTAAACAAAAGGAAAGCCGAGCAGTCATTCATTTGTATGGTACATCAGTAAAGGAGTACATAATCACTGTGCACAAGGGAGACTTCAACCTAGTTTGACATGTGAAATCCAGTAGTGTCTGTGTAATTACTCTACAAATGTATGGTGAATAATAAACTGATGCAGTGCTACTCTTTACACACCTGTGCTCTAAACATACCTTCCATCACATTTCAGCTTGCTACCTCTCTCCAGTTTCAGTGGGTTTAGCAGTATTCCAAAACTTTTTAGAGGCCCATTCACTTTTTTTTTCGAACAGGCACCCACGAGGCTGTGATATTAATGCAACACATTTCTGTTTCTTTGTCTCTGCAGGAAAAGAAGAATATGTTGCAACCTTCAAAGGATCTGAGTTCTTCTGCTACGATTTGTCCTTGAACCCGATTCAAAGCAGCAGTGATGAAATCACGTTGTCATTCAAAACCCTACAGAGGAATGGACTGATGCTGCACACGGGAAAATCAGCTGATTACGTCAACCTGGCACTGAAAAATGGGGCAGTCTCACTCGTCATTAATTTGGGGTCTGGAGCCTTTGAAGCTCTTGTGGAGCCAGTCAATGGAAAATTTAATGACAATGATTGGCATGATGTCAAAGTAACAAGGAATCTACGTCAGGTAACAGTACAGAGGGTGACGCAGAGACTCAGTAAACGAATCAAAACAAATGCACTTAAATCATTACCATCATAAAATATATTATTTGTTTAAGGCATTGTAATCAGATTGCTAAATTGAATCATGGTGGTTTATGGTGGACATAAAACAGAACCGCAAGTGAGCAGGGGCATCTAGATGTGAATCAAGACCTCTATTAAGTTAGTATTGTTGATTTTAAAGAGGAATCCAAAGCATTCAGACTCATTCAGACATTGGACAACAAATGCAAAATGTGACATTTATTTGAGTTTAATGTTTTCAACCTCTTCTAGGTTTATGTATGGTTTATTACTATGACTTACATGTCCTTAAAAGCAGTTACATTTTTCACAGTTTCCAGTATTTACATAAATTTAAAATATGACTTAAGTCAAAATGTCTGTGCAGCAGGAACAGTGTTGATAAGCTTTAAGAAACATGGTTTATTTGATTGTTTATGGTTTATTTTTCATTCACAAAAAATATCTGACCACATGCCAAACTTTTGTAAAGATGGTACAATTATTGAGAACTATTATTTGTTAGATCCGCTCGGACACAGAGGTGAGCGAGCAAAAAAAGGACGGACCCAGGTGGCTGATTTCAGTGCAAGTAGTGCTCAGTTTATTTACAGCGATATTTTACAAGTGAATAACCAGGTTGAAGTGGGACCAGGTGTCGAGCCGCAGAAGGTGAATAACAGTCAGTGGTGGAATGATGAGGGAAAGGCCGGGCTGCGGCCGCTGGGACTCACTCCTGGGCTGGTCGTGGTGGAAGGTTGCTGAGGAGACAGAGTTAGTACATGCAGTTAATGGGAGACTGTGCATCGACCTGCGTGGTGGAGATGGTGCGGGGTTGAGGAGGTCCGTGGTCCGGAGAAGCGACAGAGGGGAGGAGGCTGAAGACAATGGGGCACAAGTAGTGATGTGACGCTCCGTATCGAGGCTTCGAAGCGTGTGCCGAGTAGGGGAAGGGGCGTTTCCGCGATGCGCGTATCGAGGCTTGCGTCATTTAGGGGAGGAGCTGAAAATGATGACGTCAGAAGCCTCGCTGCCCGGCTGTACCACGTGACTGATTCAGGAAGTGGTTCGGATTTTCAAAAAAAAGAAATCGCCTAAGACCTGCCACAGTGGAAAAAACTGTTGTTTTTAAATAAAAACCAATGATTTTAAATAAAAACCAATGATGTGTCCCCTAAACCATAATCACTGGCCATACCTCAACGTTACAAAAGCACAATCATTGTCCATACCCCAACCCCAACCACCCTCACCCATCACTACAATACACATGTTTTGCATACTTCTTTATTTTGCTGGCAGTTTTATTCACAGGCTTTCTGCAAAATGCCACACACTTCAAATTCATGCCAACTGATATTGTTGCATCCAGTAGATGTCCTACTACAGCAAATGAAGCTTGAACCAATTGGATGAAAGGCTTCATTGCTTCATGAAGCTTCATCTGCCCATCACTACATTTTATATTCGATCATATAATTTGTTATGTTTTTTTAAACCAAAATGGTCTTAAGAGTAAAACATTTCTATGATGCTGGATGTTTGGAAGCACCTAAGGCCTACCCAGTAAAGTAAAAAAGTACTTATATGACATGTGTTCATCATTAATAAATCATTAATACAGCTTATTTCCATTATTTAAATGGATAAGAACATTTTAACGCATTAGACCTGATAAGAAGTCCACCTACAGTATGGATAAAGTTTACACCATCAAAGCATAAACCTACGGCTACACCTTTGTAATTAAAGTTAATGAGCACAGACAAATCCCTCCAACTGGATCTATAGGGTCTAAATAACCATCCTAAATAACGAAGAAATAATTAACACACTGGTGAATGCGTGCAGCACCCAAGATAATACCATAAACCCCACCCAATATCGTACCACTGATGACGAAATTTATTCACTGTTTAATCGAGGACAGCCAAATGTAGCGAGTCTTACTAGCCAGACTGTTCCTAGCCACCAGGCTAGTGGTAGCAACGTTACAGAAAGAACTTTAACGCTAGCTTAATGCTAAAAGTTGTACTCTCACAGGTGTCTGCAAACTGCCTTAAAGCATAGTCGCAATAGCCACTTTAGTCTTTCATTCAATATTCTCAAGTTTCATTCCATATATTCAGCTTTTCATTATATATATATTCAGACTTTTATTATATATTCTCAAGATTCATTCAATATATTCAGCTTTTCATTATATATATATTCAGACTTTCATTATATATATTCCCAAATTTCATTC